GTTTGGTAAATGAAGGTAGTACTTTTTTAAGGTTGATCTTGTCGTACCTTTTTAAATTTGTGAATACTGATGGACAATATTCTAAGACCGGTGGGTATACGTTTTATACAAAGCTAGTCTACAGTCTGTTTGCTTTTTCCATATCTAAGGAGAGAATAACCATCGACTGCGCAGAGTCAGCCGACTAGGTTACTTGATCCAGAAATTCAAATTGGCAAGTTTGACATGAACGACCACGGAGGAATCCATGTTGCGATCTGTCGACAAGATTTTGTGAATCAAGAAAATACAAAACATTTTGATTATCCTTCCCATAGTACGAGTCAATACGGATGTATGGCTAATGGGGCGGTAATTTGATAGCTCGTGACGTGATCTCCCTTTGTGTCGGGGTAGGAAGGTGGCCCGATGCCACCTAGCAGGGTATACACCAGTCTTGATTGACAAAGTGAATATGTTTAGCAGGAACAGAGGAATATCGGTCCCGGTGAGTTTAAGCAATGCTGGTGGTATGGTGTCATGTCCAGGGTAAAAGAATACTTCAGGGTAGCTGTTTACCTGCTAATGCTATACAGGTTGTACTCAACTGTATCTATTGTTTCACTAGTGACTAAGGTAATATTTATTATACAACACAGACGCTTGTTTTAAACGAGGAGGATAAAGGTTTATTAAATATGTCACAGAGCTCATCGGGGTCGCCAGTAAGACTGCCGTTTAATGATATTTTGCTTCGCATCTGATTCTTATTATGCTATATAACATGTTTGCAGCTGGGAGCTGCTAGCGGTTATGCCTCTTGTGACATAAGCTTTCTTTTATATCGGTCTTACAAGTTCATTTAAAATTTATCATTTTGTATGATCGCACCTATATCATTCATTTTCTTATACCTAAAGTGAAAGCATTTTAGACGCACCGCAACAGCTTTAGGAATGGGATTTTGAGGACGAGGCAATGGCCGCCTTCTATACTGCAGTGGTGCAAGCATGTCAGTGCAATAGGTCAGATCTTGGTAGAACTCATAAGCGGCGATATCTGGACAGTCTGTAAGGAAAAAGCCATCCAAGTCAAGGGATCTAATAGTCAGACGGAAGCTGTTCCAGTCCAAGTTGCGATATGCTCGATATTGGTGGGCATAGTGAGGGTTCGTTGCCGTTATTTAGACAACCTTGAAGGTTAGTTGGATAACCATATGATCGCTCCCAGAGAGATTACTAAGAGTCTGTGTGCACTGGATATGAGAACCGTGAAATGCAACTCTAAACTGTTACTACCTCTAGTAGGAGAGCATAGTTGCATTATCCATCCACGAGTGACAATTGACGAAAGAAAATTCCGACACTTAGCTGGTGCTGTTCTTTCCTGCCACAAAACATGTTGCGTGTTGAGGTTGCCACCTATAATGTTTTGAAAGAATGACATATCAGATGCTCTTTCGAACAACTCCGTCAATTGGTTTAATTTGGCCTTGGTAACGCCAAGCAGCAATTAAATGCAACCGAGAAGAAAACGATAGGATTTAATCTTAACCTGTACCCAGATCGCTTCCTCGAAACTGCCTGACGAAGTAGCCTCCAATTCGCACACATCTAAAGCATCATGAACGTACACAACGCAACTGCCACCTCGACCAGTAAGACGGCCACTGGCAAAAGTCAAGAAGCCAGGAACAGGAAGTTATGTGCACTGCGAACCAAACCATGTTTCCGTTACAAGCACAACATGTGGTCGAGCGAAGCATACTAAGTCGTAGGTGATGCACCTCGTTCGCCAGCGATCGAGCATTAGTTAGAAAAAGGGTAACGACATCCTTTTGGGATAGAAGGCCTTCTGCATCTAACACCAGTCTGCTGGGGCTAGAATTATCAGATAATGTATTTTCTGGCGAAGCTTGAGAGTCAAGATTACGCTCATTTTGGCTGTATTCATCGTTGCCTGTATCATAGGACCTATAGACTTTGAGCGGCGAGAACCACTATGATGCGCTCAGGTTGGTAGTGGCTTGATCCTGACAGATGTTCTACCCAATGTTGCTACTGTTTTGTCATGGGCTCATGTCCAGGACGCCTCCTCCTGGCGATCACTGGGTGACAATTGGGTTACTTCCTTCTCCTTGCTAAGATCCAGGACACCAATCCGCATGAGTCAGTGAACTGATCATGTGCTAGTCCCGCTGCCTTTCGGGTGTTCATTTAATCGAAGGCATTAATAGAAGACCCGAGTAGTGCTCCTGTCAGATGTGGGTGCCCTGCCAATATCCTAGTCCATCCTCCTCAGGGATTAGGAATTGCTCCATCACCCTCTTCCCGTAATACCGAGCCAAGCGAAACAACAGGTCTACGAGTTATATGCTCACCGCTCGGTTGACGTAGAACATGAGCGCCACGAATTATCGCTGACGGTGGAAGGACACCTCCGGGTGCTCACTGGTTTTCTACGTCCCGCCTCAAGCCAGGTAGCTCCTGGTACAATTGGTGCAAACCCGCAGTAAGCCTCCTTTGTCTGGCCGTGGTCGCAGATGCGTATCCTACTACGGTCGCAAAACAAATAAGAATGGTTGCACTACCTCGAAGGCTGCGTATGACGGCCGTCAAGCATATCCCAATCTGTCATTGCAATCATATTCCCCAGCTGGATCTGCTCCCTACTGCCTTGTGAGTCAGGCTATGGAGTCAAAGGCTCCTGGCGGTGTCCTTCAAGCAAACCACCAAACAACCCACTGCCTTGTGTTTCTGACTGTTGATCTAAAGGCTCCCGGCGGAGTCCCTCAAGCAAATTTCCGAAGCACAACAACCACCTCGCGTGCGATTGCCCACCAATGCAATCGTCTACCAACTCGCAAAGCACTCAACATCGGGTGCTGGAAAGTACGCACACCACTGGACCGGAACTCCAGCGAGCCCACCGAGCGACATACTGCACTGGTCGCGATGGAACTGGGGCGCCTGAACATCGATATTGCAGTACTCAGTGAGACTCGGCTAGCTGAGCAAGGTAAGTTGCATGAAGCAGGTGCTGGTTATACATTCTACTGGGTGGGCAAAGCCACCTCAGCGCCACGTGAACATGGGGTCACTTTGCAATATGTGATCGCCTAAACGGCCGGCTCGTGGATGAACCAACAGCCAGTAGCGCACGACTGATGACTGCTCGTCTACGACTCGGAAGAGGTAAGTTTGCCACATTTATAAGCACGTACGGTCTGACCATGTGTTATCCAGATGACAGGCGTGATCAATTCTGCAAGCAGCTAGCCTCCATGATACGGCCTGTGCCGAGGAGCGACCGACTATTTTTGCTGGGTGATTTCAACGCGCACGTTGGGCGTGTTGCGTCCGTGTGGACTGATGTCATCGGTTGCATGGTATTGGTTCAGCGAATGCGAAGGGTGACAGGCTACTTTCACTGTGTGCCACTCATCACCTGACGATCACGAACACTCGGTTTGCACTGAGTGCGAGTGATATAGAAACTTCGACACACCCACGGAGTGGTCACGCTCACCTGCTCGAATATGTCATCGTACTTTAGCGTAATATGCGTAAGGTGCGCATAACACGTGTACTGCGTGGAGCTGAGTTTGGCATTGATCACAAATCGGTGCTGTCCAAACTGTATGTATATGTTCGTAAATCTATGTATTGCACTCGCACCGTGAATCAGCGTAAATTTAACAATCTCCCCTGTGGCGAAACGTATTGAGCTGGAGAAGTGGACGGCCGCGCGCCTGTGTGATGTGGACTACATAACCATAGTGGGCGACCTGTGGCACCACATTCGCGACCAGATGACAGCAGCTGCCAGGGAGAACATAGAGCGCGCAAACTGTAAGCGGCCTGATTGGTTTGATGAGAATCATTCGATGATTGGCGCATTGGTGTCGGGGAAGAATGAAGCATTTGCTGCACATGTGGCAGACCCCAGTGACTTGGGAAAGAAGAGTCAGTTTCGCAAACTTCGACGGCGACTGACTCGAGAGTTCCGTCGCGTCAAAAATGCATGGTGGACGGAGAAGGCGAAGCAGATGGAATGCTACGCCGAACGGCGCCAACACAAGGAATTTTTTGACTCCTTGAAGGCGGTGTATGGACCGAGATTGGAGGCGCTGAGGACGCTGATTGATGGTAGCTCAGTCACCACGTGCACACGGACTGCAGACATAATGCAGATCTGGCAAAAGCACTCTGCCTTGTACGTCACTACAGAGATTGACCGACCTACATTGAACGGCCTCAAGCAGCACGATGTGAAGGCGAGTCAGGCGGACGCGTCGACACTGGATGAGACGCAGAGAGCACTTGCTCAGCTGCGAAACGGCAAGTGTGCCGGGGCCGACGGGATCCCGCCTGAAGTATTGAAACACGGCGGACCCGCGTTGGTGACTGCGCTGCACCACTTGGTGCAACGCGTATGGATTGAGGAGGAGGTGCCTCCTGAGCTGAAGGATGCCCTTGTGCTACCACTGTACAAGGGCAAAGGTAGCAAGCAATGTTGCACGAATTATCGTGGCATCAACTTGCTGAGTTGTGTGGGCAAGGTGATTGCCCGAATCCTGCTCAACCGCCTCGTCAGTCAGGTGTGAAACTAACGTGGCGGAAGAGCAACGTGGATTCCTTTCGGGTCGCAGCACTATAGAACAAAAAAACCCACAGAACAATTTATAAATGAATGAGGTGGGAGGGGGGCACCGGAGGCATGAGTGTGCCCCGTCTTCGGGGGACTGGGGGTTCTCGATTAATTTAGTTTTGATTATTAAACTGTATGGATGAGAGTTCGGTGTCACGGGGTGGTGCGGGTTTTGCGAAAGGGAGGCCGCCGGTCCATGGCGGGGCAGGCAGTCGGCACGGGGTACGCTGCGTGCTGTTTGCTCTGTGGTGACGTGATCGTGCTCTGCCGATGGGCCGGTGAGCGTGTGGTGGGCCCGGTGGGGGAGGATCCGTCTCCCGCGGGGGCAGAGAGGGGGGGGGTGACGGAGCGTGGGGGTGGAGGTGTGCGTGCTAGCCGTCGGGGTGTTTGGGGGGCCTGGGACTTCCTGGGGGGCCCAGGGGAGGTGGGTTATCGGTAGGGCGCTGGCTAGGTGATGGGCCTACTCCGCTAGGCGATGGCCCGCGGAGGGGGGATGGTGGCGAGTGTGAGGCGGGGGGGGTGCTGGGTCGCCGGCAACTGTGTAGGGGGGTTTGTGCGAGGAGGACCCGGTGAGCATGCCTGGAGGGGGTTGGTGGTGATGGCGAGGAGGTAAGCCGCGACCTTTGCTCGAGGGGCTGGCGGTACGTGGGTGGCGGGGGGGGGAGGGGGTCATAGCGGGCTGGTCGGGGTTCGGCGTGGGTGGGTGAGATAGGGGGCGGGGGTAAGGGGTTCGGGCTGGGGGAGGGGGGAGGCGGGGCGGGGTGGGAGTGAAGGGGTTGAGCGAGTGGGGGCGGGGTTTTGGGGTTGGGGCAATCTGATGGAGGGGACGGGGCGTGTGCTGGGCGCAGGAAGGGGAGGGGTTTGGGGGGGGCGGGAGGTGGGGAGTTGCTACGATCGGGGGGGTTTGACGGGGGTGGGGGGGGCGGTAGGGGGGGGGGTCGGTGGGCATGGGGCAGCGAACGAGGGGGCAGACTACGGGGGGAGGGGGAGGGTGGGGGGGCGGGCGGGCTGGGGTTGCGCAGGCCGCGAGCCGGAGCGGGAGGGGTAGTCGTCGGAAGGAGAGAGGGGCGGTTGTTGAGGGGTCGTAGACAGGGGCAGGCGTTGGGGTGGACAGTCGGAGCGGCTAAGGGAGTGGGAGCCGGAGGGGGCGCGGAGGAGGGGGGGTGGAGCCAGTGGTTGGGGACATCATTCAGTATTTATTAAGTGTTCTATAATTATTATAGTGGAGCGTAAGTGAGGTTAGGGGACGGGGGGAGGTCGGTCGGCAGGACTGACTCGTGGGGGGCGTCGGAGGCGTCGAGTGGAGGGGTCGGTCGGGCAGGGGGGGGTGAGCAGGCGACCGGGCGAGGGCGGGGGTCGGGGGGGAGTAGGCGTTTATCGGATTGGCGGGGACCCGCCATTGGTGGGATCGTTTGTGGGGGGTTTCGTGTTTCCGGTGCAGGTCCCTATGGGGCGGGTGATGCGGGCGGCGGAGTGTAGTTGGTGTGGCGTAGAGGGCTTGCGGTTTGCTGATGGGGCGGTTTGCGAGTTAGCTATCGTGATTGTTAACTGCTTTGACTTGCCCGTAACACGGGCCTATGTCAGTGTGAGATAATCGTAGATGTGAACAATGCAAGATTAATTCGTAAGAGGCTAGCGTTGGTTTTGTCGCCGCTGAACGCCTTAGGTCACCACCAGGACCGGAAGGAAGAAGTCCGAAGACGAAGCGCAGGAAGAGGGACTTGTATGCATGAAATCACAGTTAGCTTATCGTAGCTTTGATACGGCACCAAATGAGAGACGGAAAGCTACTAGAAGTCCACTTGAGCCAAC